TAAATCGATAACGACGCTCATAAATGTGCTAGAAATATTACTAGAAATCGAAAATCGATAAATGTTCCCTAGCAAACATGGTTGGTCCCACGGTGGATCCTCCCTGGGGAACAGCCGAAAGCAGCTCCTATCTTTTCAAAAAAGCAAGATCGACAGATATGGTCCATAGAAAAGTTGTAGAGCTTGCAATTCTCTATCGAACTATGTATAAAACATATATATGTAAATTTTACTGACATCATAATAATACGACTGAAAGTCGTCAGAGTACAAAAAAAGGCTGTCTCAAAAAGATTATTCAGCCTCAAATGAAATTATAAGCTTCTTTTCTGAACTCCGTTCAAGCTGTAGCAGATAGAGAAGTTTTTTCTCTATCTTTTCATGTAAGGATAGTTGTGTTTCTCTCTAACTGTATGTCCGAAATTGGTAAAATACGAGGTACACCCAGGGACAAAATTTCAGCCAAAAAATTATTCTTGCGTCGACTATAACTCAGCCCCAAAGGCCCAGTCAAGCGAACCAAGATAGACTTTTACTTACCTCAACAGCTCCTATGCAATGAATATAATATCAATCGAAAAGCGATTAAACACTTGGAAACGTTCCCTCATAAGTTTAGAGTAAGAGTCTGGAATAGTATGTTGGTTGAGGCCTTTTGTGATGTTTATAAAGTGATAAGAATTCTAATAACTATTTCGTCGTCACTGCTTCATTGAAACGAAATAGTTATTAGAACTCTTATCACTCGTCTAAGCTCTTACCCAGACTGGGTGGCCAATCTAATCAATATTTAACGAAAATACATTTTCTCCCATTTTGTCTCCCAAAATACTTGAGAGCAAAACTTTTTCCCACTTGTTTCATTGAGGAAAAAAGATCAAATGGATGTCAACGTTATCATTATCATTGTGTTGAAATTATGGTGGTAGATAGTGTTGTGTGTCTCATACTTCCATGGTTTTCTCCCCAAAAATGATATCCCTGCTTTTTTCTGTCGCCACGGACATGAGAAAAACTGATCTCTTCAACATGGATTATATAAAGGGTCAGACAAACATAGTTAATCTAGCATTTCAAACGCATATATTTAGTTTTTACGTGTAATACAAAGAAAAACGAACGCCATCTTGAAGAAATCCCGAACACATCAATTTGAATACCATTTTTTAGCCTTAAAACCAACTTTCAGTTGAAATAATACTGAAACTACATAAGCTAATAGGACTTTAATCTTACCTTTAGATAGATGCTCTAAAGCAATCTGGTTTGTGGCGAGAAAGTTGATGATCTGAAAACGGTAGTAAAAATGTAAAGGGACAATTTTCTGCTTGAGGTATGTTGCCCTTTAACTCTACCTATTTTGGTTCGTTGTATTAATGTTTACTGTCTTGAACTCACTCTTAGTAATGCAGAATAATCTGGATATGCCTGACCTGCTTTAAACGCAGTTTTTCTTGCTTAAGTTAGTTATATAAAAATATTTTTTATCATAGTTTCAGTTGACAAATTTTTAATGGCCGACGAGTCTATAGAAACAACACCGTTAGTCTGTGTTTTTACCAAGTTAAACAATATCGAGGCATCAAAAATTCATTGTTTGAGCAATGTGTTTGACACATACTCTAGTAATGATAACGTAAAAGTTTTCGTTAATGAAGACTTATGTATCGATTACATCACATCGTTAAGCGAAATAGATAAAGTCAACTTATTGTTATTGACTTCACTTGGAGTAAAAATCGTCCCGTCAATTTATAATTTATCACAATTAAAATTCATTTTTGTCTATTGCGATAAAATTAAAAATTAAAATAAAAGATTCTACCAACAATATTCCAACGTTCGTTTATTCGATAAAGATACTTGTCTTTTTACTAAATTCGTTGATATTATAAAATCATCTGTTGAAACTATATCAATGGAAACATGCAACTTGAAACAATGTTCTTCGAAATCATTTGAAAATGTCGATAAACAAAGTAGTACATTTATATTTAAGCAATTATTATTTGAAAGTCTATATCATATTTCGACAAATGTTGAAAAAAGTGGTATTGATGATATGATTTGTGCATGTCGTGCCAATAAAAACTACGTTAATAATCTTGAGCAACAGAAACTCATTGACGAATTTTTATCATCCTACAAACCTATGGATGCAATCAAATGGTATATAAAACCAGGTTGTTTTTTACAGGAGTCGATGAATGAAGCACTTCGTTCACAAGATATTGATCAAATTTTTAAATTTCGACGTATTATTACCGATATTTACAATCAACTCTCTGAGTTAAAATCTGAATTTTGTGATCCTTTAGAGGTTTATCGTGGACAATTAATGAAACGTTTTGCAGTACTAATGCTAAAAAAATGTTCTGGTGGACTTGTATCAGTAAATTCGTTTTTCTCAACGAGTGAAGACAAACACGTTGCTGAAATGTTTTCTGGACTAGGGGCCGCTCGTCCGTTTTTAGAATCCGTACTGTTTGAAATAATGATTGATACAACAATTAAGGCAAAACCATATGCAAATATTAAAACAGAACATATTAAATATGAAAAAGAAGTACTGATGTCTATCGGCACCGTATTCCGCATACATTCTGTTAATTTTGATCCAAAATATTATTATCATGAAATATACGTTCCCATGTGGATTATAAAATTATCGTTAATAAAAGTTGAAACCGAAGAAATACAAAGGTTTATAAACTGTATAATAGATCAGGAAATAAAACCTTCTCAAATACCACTTTCAATTTTAGCCGACTATTTGGCAGATTTGGGACAGTTTGATAAAGCATTAAAATATCATGAAATACAATTAAACGAGTTACCTTCACCACTTGATCTTGCTAATAAACAACAACAACAACTTGATCTTTCTGATATATATGATAGTATGGGAAGTATTTATCGTGCCAAGAAAGATTACATTTTAGCATTAAAATACTTTACAATATGTATTGAACAAAGAAAATTAATTTCACATAATCATCCAAAACTTCGTGAAACATATCTACAAGTTGCATTTCTCTGTAGAGAAAATGCAGACTATAATGGGGCATTAGAATGGTATAGTAAACTGCTTGATATGCAAGAAAAAGCGTTGAATCCTGATGAACTCTATATTATGGAGACGTGTATGCTTATGGGACCAGTTCTTTGCGTACTAAATCATTTTCCAGAATCCATTAAGAAACTAGAGCAAGCTCTTCAAATCGCAGAACGGGAAAATATGAGTCATGAAATTGCACGGGCATATTATCATATGGGTGTGGTTTATGACAAACAGAATGATCCTGTAAAAGCATTCATAAACTATAAACAAGGGTATAAAACTATAAAAGGTTCAGTCAATGGAACTATAAAGGGTTCATTCTATGAAGAATTTGCTAAACAATGTGAAAAAGGTCTTAAAGCCACAGCCAATAAAATACATGCTTATGCGAGAATTGAATTGTGCGAGAATCTGCAGTTTTTTGTATTATTTCTAAGAAAGAGACGACTTTTGGGTTAATTTTAGGCAGGTTAGCCATCTTGAATTTTTATTGGTTAATATATAGAGTGAATAAATTAAGTGTACCTAGAAACTAGCGCTGTAAAAAACAGGTGCATGATGAAGTAAAATAAATTGAAGAAGTTGAGAAAATCCTTCGATGTCCTGCGGTTTGAACTAATATAGAAATAGTTGAACAAATAAAACAACTTTGGCATGCATCAGTATTTACCGATTGCAATTTCATGATTTTGTCATAAAAATATTTTTCATACTGCAAAATGATTTCTTACGAGGGAACCGCCCCAGGTGTCCGGTTTCGATTTCGTTCGTTCATACATCATTCGATAGAGGACCTCGAGTAGGCAAAAAGGCTAAAAGGATTTGGGCGGAGGGTCCTTTAAGACCCGGTTTTCTGGAAAACCAATTTTTCAGAAACTCTAAAAAG